GCTTCACTTGTCTCTGACGTGTTCTTAGCTTGGTGCGGCGAATGGCAAAACTCACTGATGATGCCGGCGAAACGCTTGAGAATGTATCAAGTCCATAGTCGGTTGCTGGGAATCATGACAACTACTATGGCAGACGACTTCGAACTAGGTGCGTTCTACATGGTCTCCCTGAAAACAAGGCCAAGTTGCGACAACGAGGTCAACCCACTTTTAACTACGTTTGTTACTCGGGTACTATACTCTTACCAATTCTACATGGCTCCTTCTAGAATGGTGTGGATTCATCCAGATCCAAATGGGTTGAGAAATTCTTTTTTTTATTTTTTTTTAAATTTAGATTGATCGGGTGAATAGCATTGTTGAGTTGATCTCCGAGCTCATTGATCCATCTATCGATACTAGTACCCTGCCTTGTATCAATGTTGATCAGCCGAATGAACCTGAAGTGGAAGTCGCCAAACTGTCTCGATCGGAGAAACGAAGGCTTCGTCTTCAGGTACTAATATTTTTAAGGAATAAAGTGTATTTAGCTCGTTTCTTGACTAATACCAATGATTATTGACTTTCTTTTTTTCATAGATTGCTTCTCTTGATATCCGTTTGAATGAACTTAATGAATCGATATACACATGTATGTCAATGAAGAACTTTTCGAAGATCAACCAGTTGACAATGGAGCTTGCTGAATTAGAGACTGAAAAGTCTAGACTAATTCAGAAAATTCAGGACGGGATATTGCCGTGAGTCTACTTATTCTCTTTTAGATTGTGTAGCCACTCAGCCTTCCTTCTGGTTCCTTAATCCGTCTTGTTAGTTAGGCGAACGAGTTCCTGCATTAAATAATCACAATTAACTATTATTGATATCTAGCGGAGTTCCTGTTATAAGAAGAGGAACTGGGTTTCGATTAATCTTAAGATTGAGGACATTTTCATTTAGTATGAAAGTGCATGCTGAAGAAATTAGTAGGTCATTATCACAATAAGACGACGGGTGATTTTCATTGAATTGCAACGGTTTGGCTTTAATACAACGGTCAGGTTGACGTGGTCCACTAAACATCCTCTTTGGCTTCGGGCGAAAAGGAACTAATCTTTCGTCCATCATATGATAGAAATCATCTAAGCTGGAACTCATGCTTGTCAAATTAACACAAGGTCAGATGACTGTCCGGCTCTATCTTACTTCACTAAAAACCATAATATATATGCATAGATAGATATGGAATGGTTTGGTCAGTTCCATTTTACCCAAGTCATGCTACTTTTACTTGAATGTGTCTGCGTGTTTACTGAAGCCTATACGCGATAATAGTCATAAATCAGAGTGATTAAGAAATCCTAATATATGCCGGGCCATTAAGGCCTATTGACCCAAGATAAAACCCTGATCGAAATCGCGTAAGTCTGTAAGCAACTCTGCTTGAGATAATGGAACGTTAGATTGTACGTGTGTAAACCAGATTACGAAACCACTCGTAATAATCTATCCATCTAGGTTCATTTACTATTGTTGGGCATAGCTTCATGCCGGCATGCTTTCTTTCTAAGACTATAATGAGAACGTGGGGGATAAAGAAATCCTTACATTTTCGGTTATGTCATCTTATAGAGAAGAGTATTATCCATTGTTGCGATCAGACTTCTACAAGATTGTGTGTTCCTGTGGGTCTTAAGCCGCCATTCTCTAGAAGGCAATTCAACTTGTCAGCAGAATGATAATTCTAGCCTAACTCCCGCTCGTCCAGCTCAACCAAATCAGACGCAACACCTTCACAACTTTCCTTCGGTCGTTAAAACTTAATGATCCTAAATGGACAGGCCATTACGAGTAGTTTCGTAATCTTAATTACACGTGTACAATCCTGCATCCCATTATCTCAACCAGAATTGCTTATAGACTTACATAGCCTCGGTCGGGTTTTTTTTATTTTTTTCGTTAAGTTTTGATGACCCGAGTCTAACATTAGTGTTTTTAATCACTCGATATTACCTATAGACGTTAGCGAATGCATACAGTTACACTCAAGTAAAGTACTATGATTAATATCAAAGGGAATTAGTCAAATCAATCTATATCTATCCATGTCTATAATCGTTCTTCTTTTTGCTTGAGCAAAAGTAGGATGGCCAGTATGAAAGATAATTCGCCAAACTATTCTATATCTATGCATATTAATTTTATTTTGTTTGATTGAGTCTATGTAAGAGGTAAGGTAGATCCAGATAGTCTTTTTGACGGTGTTAAGATAAGGCTTACAAGATGATGCCCATCATAAAATGGAGGAGAGCTCATGCCGTTTTCATCCGAAACAACGCAGAATGTCTCATGGACTGCGTCAACCTGAATGTCGTATTAAATCCCAACGGCTGCAGTACAACGGGAATCAGCCATCCTCTTGTGATATCAACCTTCAAATCTCTTCATGCTCTTTCATAAGGAATGAAAGTCTTTTCAATAACCAGCAACACCCGCTCTTAGTTTGTATATACTTTCAAAAAGTTTTCAGTGTGTCGAAAGTGTTAGATCTAAATGTTAAGCTGAGTGAAATATTTCGACTAAGATATCACGCTGTTGGGAAGCGGGGGCTGGATTGAGTTTTAAAATGACTGCTTCTCTTTTATTAGATGACAGTCATCTTAGCGCCACATTACAGCTCGTCAAAGAGACAAATGAAGTCTTTGACTAACTGTCTACTGGGAAATTGGTCCTGATGCATTCACCTATCCTATAACCCCGTATTGCAATTTCTTACTTGATTATTTAAAGCTAGTTGGTATGCTCCCTTTGGAGCGGATTTATTGACATTTCTACACATTTCCGCTGGTTTTCTTATCTCATAAATTGTGCTGATAGTGTTGATCCAAGTCTTTTCTTTTAGTCCGTCTCGCTCGTTCAGCGATTTCACTCGATCACCGCCACTATCAGTGTTACGGTCCTGTTATAGATCTTCCATTAAGAAGAGTATACTTTGGAAGCATGGTAGACCAGGGAGGAGTCGTTAACACGACTAATCAACTTGACGATTAGAATTACTTGCTTCACATTTTACGGCAACAGTACGGCTGCAGTATAATGGAAATCAGCCGTCGTCTTCTGTTATCATTGATCTATAATTTCTTCATCATGTCTGCTGATATTTAAATTGTATTTCCATCATTATGACTATTTTGACAATGCTGACAATTATGCTGTTTTAGATCAAGTTATTAGAAACCTAAAAGCCCGTATATTATTTTCTTTTATCCTAAAAATATTATTGCCTTGAAACTTTAAAATCCCTTGGCAGTGTGTCCAATCTATATTCGTGGTTTGAAGGTGTTTGTGCTAGTCCACACTTCATTCTGTTTTATTTGACTTGATTATACCTTATCTCTTTCATTTCTTGAA